GCACTCTCCTCTGGGTCCCCCTGAACTCTTACTCGCCCTTCAAAGCCCTATCCAGGTTTCTCCCCCCAGGAAGTCTCTCGCTCCTAGGCTGGGTCTCCAGTGGCAGGCGAAGGACCCAGGGCTGTCATGTTCCCCTGGGTCCACGTGCCTGAGCCCAAGGACACAGAACTCACAGTTTCCAGGACCCTGCAGAAACAGGGCATACCTCTCCAAGAAAAAACATCAGCTCTGCACCAGAAAAGCTGCAAAGCCAAAGTGGGTGTGTTGGATTCTGTCTACAAAGTGGCATCTATTTTATTAACTGTCAAGCCAGTATTCTGAAACCTCTGGGACATTCGGAAACAGCTTATCCATCGGAGATTTCTCACTCTGGGGGATTCTCAAGTATGCAGGGTGCTGGAAACCGGATCCACCGTGAGTCAGATGGGTTACCTGTGGTCAAAATGATGATAATCGTTTAAGTTTTGTTTGCCTACCTTGGTCAGTTTTATCTTGGTGTAACACACATGCAAGGAAAGCCTTCGTTCAACGCGGGCAATCCGTGAGTTTTGACAAAAGTGTGTAAGGACCAGGATAAGCAAGATACAGACTAGCTCTGAAGCCCGATCCCAGCTCCTAGGCTCTCAGACCTCAGGACCTTGTGTTTATCCAGGTGTCAAAATTCCCAAATTCTGGGCCAGCAGGTAGCGGGGAGGTTAAGGCACCTGGGTCCCACATGGCTTGCTGTGCAGTTTGAGTCCTGAACCCAGCAGCTTGAGAAATATATTGTGTGTGTGTGTGTGTGTGTGTGTGTGTGCCCAGAATACCGAGAGGAGAGTGGAGAAGAAGGGATTGTGGCATGGCCAGCCCCAGGGGGGGATGCTTTCAAACTCTTGCTCTCTGTGGCGAGTGCACAAGCACTATAGCAAAACTAAAAAAAAAAAATTCTCAAATTCTTCCCCAAAGGTTATGAAGAAAGTAGCATTGTAAACACATATTACTAGATGAGGAAACAGACTGATGTATTTGAAAAACAAACAAAAAGTCAAAGGCTGAAAGTGATAGCAGTGGGATTCGAACCGTCTTTCAGCTCTAGAACCAGGCTGTGCCTTACAGGAGGACGAGTGTGACGTCATTCCGACAGACCCCCCCCTTAGTCCCGCCCCCCGGCTCTGGCCACGCCCACGGCCTCCGAACCCACCAGTCCCAGCTGTAACAGCGCTCGGGGCCCATCCTCATAGGTCCGGCCCCGGAAGCCCCGCCCCGAGGCCACGGCCACGCCCCTCGCGGCC